AGGATCAACAGGGACAAAGAGACCCAGAAGGATGAAGGGGGGACAAGCGCACGATCTGAGTGTTTAGATCAACAGGGACAAAGAGACCTTCATCCAAGGTTCCGACATCATGCAGCTAAGCCCATCCGCTGAGTTTATCAGCAAGGCTTGCTTCGATCCTTGACATTCTTGTACATCAGAAGAGAGCAGCCAAAAACTGAATCTCCACACAGGTTGTGCAAAAAGTGCAATCCCCAAGAAAGAAAGATGGAGTTGCAGTTTCAATTTGTTGTGGGCGGGAACTGTCACAGTAGTCTGGCCAGGTAGTGGTGGTGCTAGTGGTGTTAGTGTCTTTTTGTTGCTCTTGCAGTTGCAGTTGCAGTTGTTGCTGTTGTTGCTGTTGTTGTTGTTGTTGTTGTTGTTGTTGTTTCTTGTTGTTGTTTATTGTTTATTGTTTCGGTCATGGTCATCGTGGTTGTGGTCGTGGTGGTTTTGTTTGTGGCCGTTGCAATTGTCGTTGCTTTCAAGTTCGTGCGCAATTCAATTGAGACGTTGTCGATTTGATTCAGTCAACATTCATTGCAAGTTTGTTGCAAGGAGTTCACGCATTTTGCAGACGTTTGCGTTCCATGTTTTTTCTGTGCAATTCTTGGAGGATTATGATTCCGACTCCATGCCCAGTCGGGCTGCGGGGTCCGTGCCTTCAGAATCAACCACAACGCTTGCGGTTGCAGCGCTGCAGCGGAAGACGAAGGCAATCAAATCCTGATTTTTCCTTGAACAGGCTCACCTCAGAGTCTTTAAAAGTGTCAATATGCTCCAAGCCCACGCCTTCAGTATGCAGGCGCAATGCGCAAGAGCGTTGAATTATTAGAACCAAACAGTGGCCTGGCAGCCATGAGACTTGAAGTAATTTGGCTAGCAATATATCCATCCAGATGAGACATTCAAATCTTAGATGGAGTATTTGTTTCTGGTGCACGTGACTGAAGCGGCGAACTAAGGGAGTGAATCCGCTGCTGAGATTGACCGTGCTTTTGAGGTCTGGTACCTTGCAGAGGGACTTCGATGGCGGCAGAATTCCAAACTATTTTTGGTGTTGCCAACGACCTTGATACTACTCGTCGAATTGACTCTTTGCAGTGAGGCTGCAAGCCTTTTCACCCAGAGAGCGAGCCATGACACCAAGGCACCACTCCTAGTGCAAGAGACACTGGACATATCAGAGACTATTCAGAAATATCACAGAGCTCCAAACATCATTGGGACTCATGTCGCAAAGCCTTTCGCTTTGTGCTTTGGGCTTTACCACGAGATTTGATGAAATTCAGTGACAGGCTAGAATTTTATCAACACATCTGCTGGCTAAGTCCATGTTTCGGTTAGACTGCCGAATTGTTGTTGATTCAATTGTCCTTTCAATTCCCTCAGATACTGTTCTCAGCACCGTTCACATTGCTGTTTTCTTTGCCTTTTGTTGAGGTCTCACAAAGCGCAGGAGATCGCAGACTTGAATTCCAAGGAGGCAGGTTGATTGTGGCAGTGGCAGGGGTGACTGTTATCGGTCTCCAAGGACACCTGGTTGCTCATTGCGATCAGTACTGAATCCGCCCCGGATCAATGCAGCGTTGGTGCCAGAGCATGAGGCAGTGAGGAGTGCCATTGCCTTGCTGCCAGATCCTCAAAAATCGAAATTATGAGCGCTGTTTCCTGTTTGTTCGTGCGGCTTATGCCTCCTGATCAAGGGAGTTTGACGCCCGCAGAACAGTTTTTGGTGTGGACATGCATGGAGTGACGCACCAGGGCCATGTCAAGCTGGGGCTTCGCAGAACTCAGCAACACTTCTTGTTTGCATCACGAATGGGATCGCTAGATGCTGAATAACCACGCGGCTGTGATACTTGGAGATACTCTGAGGCTTACTCGCTGATTTGCCACCGTTACAACGGCGTG